ACTTTCGCCTCCTTGCTTGCCGCTGGCGGCTGCCGCTGCCAGCGGCGCACCACCTTCTGCCCAATAAGTGATGTTTCGTGTTGGGTGGAGTAAGGAAGACGTCGTATAGGTCATTAGCAACAGAGCTTAATACCGAAGCACGCGTGTTGTTTATTCTTTAAAATAAATAAAAATACCCAACTAAAATTTATATATTTTTTATTTTAAAAAATATATATCATAACAGTATAAAATAAGTTTTCTAAAAGTAAAAAAAAAAAATCCAAAATAAAATAGCCATTACCTTTTTTTTTTCCTTCTAAAACTAAATAAAAAAGTACTTTTTTTTCCCTTCAGGATTAGTTGTAAGCGTTGATTCATGACTCGTTCTGCTTACAATCCTTCGCTATAAGAAATTAAAATAAAAAATTTATTTTTTTCCCCAGAAACCGATCGTTAAGAAAACAATAGTAGATTACCAGGAAACGGTAAGAAATCACCACTGGATTCGCCGGCTGCGGCGGCGGCAGCGGCGGCGGAGGAATCTGCCGGGACAGAGGAAGATGAGCTGGGGTGAAGAGATCCCAGAAGAACGTATTCACAGTTGGAGATTGGAGTGATAAGATCATCATCCACTAAATCCTGCCACACGAATCCTTCCTTGTATCGCCTGCATGCAATCGTTGACCAATTCCTTACACTTAGTCAATTCAATCACCGTTACCTCTGCAACAGAGCACAGAGAGAGAGAGAGAGAGAGAGATAGGGAGAGAAAGGGAGGAGGGATTACCTCTGGTAGGACCAAGTGAAGGAATCTGGCATCTCTTTTCCTCTCAACTCGGACAGCCATCTCTTCACATCTGGATGTTAGCCATGAAAGAAAAACAGAGCTATCAGAGCAGGGGAATGTAGAGAGAGACAAGGGGGGAGATGAAGAACAGGGCATGTGAAAGATTGGATTTTTACCACGAAGGTGAACGCCGGAGTGGCAGAAATGGTGGATGCGGATGAGATGAGGGTGTTCTATGCGGCCGTTGCGGTTTAGGAAGTAGATCACATTCGCTCTCCTCGCTTCTGTGTTCTTCTTCCTCTTCGAAGGATCCATGTGTACCTCCATGGCTCTCCCACCCCTCCCACTCTTAAATCTCTCTCTCTCTCTCTCTCTCTCTCTCTGTGATCGAGCATGCACTCCATGGTTTGAAAATAAAATAATTATAGAGGAGGTTCAACATGCCAAAAAAAGAAAAAATGCAATCGTTTGATAAATCTCATGGAATTTACTATCCGGACATCTGACATATTTTTATGTTGGTTGCAGGGTATTCCTGAGTTATTTTCATGTTATTTCTGGGTTATTTTCAATAATCCCGAAATAATACTATGTGCTGCACCTAGAGCTATGTCAGAAGTCCGCACAGAAAAATTTTTGCATGTGAAGACAATGAATAGGAGAAATTTACTTCCTTAATATTTAATATAAAAAATATACTATTTTTATTTGTATTAAATATTAAATACGTTGATTTGTGTATTGATAGTATTTGTTGTTGGTGATACAATGATAATAGTCATAGTAAATAAGGATGGTGGTGCTAGTTGGTGGTAGTCATTTGTAATATTTATTTTTAAAAAAAATCAAAATATTTGAAAAATATTTTGAATGTTTTATTGAATAATTTGAATGATTTAAAATTAATAATTAAAAATTAAAAAAATTGATTAAATAGTTGTTTGTTCGTTGAGAAAAGATCGTATTAATAATTTTTATTTTAAATACTTTGAAATTGCTTGGTTAAATAAATATGATTTTCGCGGACCAAAATAATAATAGAAAATAAAATTGGCACTAAACTAAACATTTAGACTCACCTCCACACAAACATATACATTTAAATTTTAATTAAATCATTTGTGGACTCAAAATAATATAAGTTATACACATTATAACTTGATATATGATGTAGTGTACATACTAAATATAATTAGTCTAGGGAGTGAGATAAGTTGAAATGATCAGAAATGACGCACACGTCAGATAAAAGTATATTCTATATTGTTAAAGAGGAACTCAAGCCGAAATATACTAGGCATACTTTTGTTTAACGATTAGCGTTTTGTTAGGGAATTAACTTAAGTACGTCAATATTAGAATTGTCCTAGCTAGCTAGGATGAGTGATCCCATAAGAAGTTGCACCTAGAAGATTAAACTCATGAGATTAAACCTAATATAGAATGAACTATAAATTGAAGTAGGTCCCATTGTTTTTATCCTTACAAACACATTATTGGTGGATAAGTTGTCTTGCCATTAGTAATTTTAGAGTTATGAGATGAAGTGGCCTTAAAATTTGACAAAATGTTCTACATTAACTTCATCTACAACTCTCATACAACTTTTAGGCATGGGCGCCTCCTTAATATATTCTCCATCAAAACACTAATTACATTATAAAAGAAAACCAAACAAAAACAAAATAAAAACAAAGGTTGCAAGCTCACATGTAAATTATTCTTTTGTACAGAAGACATGCTCTGCAATCCTAAATTACTGTCTTATATTTCATTAAAAATAAGAAAGCAACTTGATTTTTCCTTTTTCTTTCCGAGAAAATATTGCGTCACGACTCCGCAAGTAGAGCTACGTGCGGAGTCCAATGAAATCACACCATGTGGCGGTGAAAAAAATAAAATAAAATATGTTCAATAACACAAAGGAATATTCCTCAGTGTTATGCATGTGTTATTGTGTGTTGTTCAAGTGTTATTGTGTTATTATAACACCGGAAATATTCCCAGAACACAATAACACCTGAATAACACAGGGGGAAATATTCTCATGTGTTACCAGACCTTTTTTTTTTTTTCTGTCACCTCCACGTGGCCTGATTTCATTAGACTCCCCACATAACTCTACGTGCAGAGCCCTGATGCAATATTTTTTCTTTCTTTCCAAGCGATATTAAAGACAAAAACAACAGTGCGAAGAAAAAGATATACATACACACCTCTCAATTCTTTTGTATTTACATATCCAAAACTTCAATTTTTAGATATTTAAAACTTTCTTTAGTTCATTTGTTGTAAGTATCGGTTATTTAATATTTTAGGTTGTTAAACTATTACACATTTTTTCTAATCTAACAAATTATCTCTTCACATGATTTAGGTGAAATAATGATAAAATTATTGTCCATGCAAACAAGGGTAAAAAACAAGTATATTTATTTTAGTGCATTTATATGATTATATAAACTAATAGCATAGTTTGGCTCATGAGATCAATAAAATCCTATATTTTGATGATGATAAAATATGTTTTGAAATTCTAAAATAATATAAATTAATAAATAAATCCTTCCAATAAATATAAGCATTTTTAATCCAATATTCACATCAACATAATTTACATTTAATATATAAATTCAAAATTTTAATGAGAATCTAATCTTATCTCATTGCTCATTTCAAGACTAAGGGTCCGTTTGGGATAGCTACAGCTTATTAAAAAATAGTTGTGCAAATAATATGATGTTCAAAAAGCTATTGTGACTATTATATATATATA